TTTAAAAACTAATTAAAAGTAAACTTACTTATATACAGCATAGGTGTGATACTCATTCAGATTCTGTATTCGTATATCCAGGTTAGGACTTCTTTGACTTTTCTCAATGGAGTTATTGAAAAGTTCAATGTAGGCATCAAGAGAAAACTGGTACATAGGGTCAATACGACCCATGTCATTCAGCACAAAGAAAAGGATGGATGACCTCTGTGCACATGGTCGATATCCCTAATAAACATAACAATATATTAATACAATAAAACCGTATATTTGAATTTAAATATTAAGTAGGAGCTATTAGCACTATGAAGAGCTCAGAAATGTGTAAACTAAATATTCAAAACAATACTGTTCTATTAATTGCTTTTCACTTAAATTCCTCTATAAACAGATAAATATAACTGATAATGAATGTGTTTTCTACCTCTCTTGCTGCATCAATCTTGATTTCAGTCTGTTCACTGACAGCCAACTGTTCTGCAACTTCCTGGGAGGTTATCTTGGATGAGTTCAGTGTGTTTACCAACTGTTCATCATCAAGTAATGAACCTTGAGCTGTTTGTAGCAGTCTGGAGKATAAACAAATAATTACTTATTACTCACTAAAACTTTTAATAATGARGTAATCATTAGCAGACATTTCACTATTTCATCATCATTGTCATCATCTTCTTCATCCTCTCACTCCATGCCATATAAGGTGTATAAGGCTTTTCCTTTATGGTTTCCTTTTCCCTCTTTCCATAACTGCCTCTCTCTCTTTTTCTTATTATCCACTTCCTACAAACTCTTTCTCTCATCGAAATTCTTGGCTGACCAAAAACTACATYTAGAAAAGCCATTTCCACAGGTAACATACCTRAGAATCTCATCTTCCAATTCCTCTATTTTCTTTTTACCAGAAGCAATCTTYATGACCAACTCATCCTTCTGTTCTTCTAACTCAGGACGTTCCTTYCGTACAACAATACCAAGCAACTGGGCCTCAAGACCTGTTATAAGAAGAGCCAAAACTAAGTACTAAAACTAGAATAATGTGTATCTGGAAGAAAATATCGTATTCATTTAATAAATCATTGAATTTTGACTGTGCAAAATGACATATTAAATCGGTTAATATGACTTTAAACTTGTCAAACAAGAATAAAGCACATTCTACTTCCCTTACCTTGRTCCTTGACAGCAAAGTTGACAATAGTMGTTTTTGTGGAGATCTCAGGAGTGTAATGTGGATTGCTTAGTTTTGTTGTGATATAAAAGCTGAAGTCAAGATTGTATTCAACCTCCTTGTCACCCAGTTTGATGAGATATCMATTACCTGTCAAACAAATAATCTTTGTTTACTGGAAGAGCAGTGGATCAGGTGTACAATGACCTGTCTGCAATAACTACTAAAAAATAACGACTGACACATCATATTTAATCACATTCCACCAATGGCATTCAGTGACCGTTGAATAGGTTCTGCTGTAAAAGCACATATTAAATTTTGTTCTTCAAAAGTGTAAACGTTATGCCTCCCAGTCAATAAAACAATAGTCCTCTCTATTAACTACAATAAAACTTACCAACTTTTATGAGAGATTTGTTTAATATAGGAGCCAAGGATGGGTCGAGTTCTTCCTGCAAAGCGCAAATAAAATAATCAATAATCCATCATTTATTGCTTCAATAAAAGAATGATCTGCACATTATAGTGTTAAGATGAATAACATCCTTGAATTGACCCAATCAAAGTGCACAATTTTAATTAAAACAAAATTTATAATTAAATCAAGTTACCTGGACATTCTGCAGCAGTACTGGGCTACCAAACTGAACAGCATTCTCTAAAGTCCTTAGYTAGTCAGGTTGCTGTAGATCTATTATCTTTAAACCCTGTAAGGCAACAGAAAATGGATTTAAAATCAAAATTAATCAATCAATATTCTAGTATATATTAAGCTCTTTCAATTTCTTACATTCTTGGTTTCCATGTTTTTGATCCACTTGAGTGCTTGCCCTTGAGGATCAATCATCAGAGGCCACCTGGGAAATGAAAACACAAACAAATGAGTGGAGGGTAGGGGGTAGGAATGGATGTAAGAATAATATATTAATATGGGAACAAATGAATGGAGGGATAAAAGGAAATAATGAACAAATAAATGGATGAACAAAATCATTGTCTTTATTGTACTCAAAATAATCATTACTAACCTGTTTCCACGAGTGACAATAACACCATTTTCAGTTGAAAAGGCATCAGAAGGCAAGCCCTAAAGACAAAAAACAATATTATAACTATTTCTTTCCACCATATATACTTTTTTAATTAATTATCAGTGCCAACCTGTATATTCCATTCTCTGACTGTTGTAGGCTTTGCAAGGAACAAGGAGAATGTAAAGTCTGGATTACATGGAAGGTTAACTTGTCGGACCTACAAAAAAACAAAAAATATATATATATATATATATAAGACAATAAATTCAAACAGGTATAGACACTTTATCTCCTCAAATAGATTGAAGATAATATTTGGAAATGCAAACCTGTGCCAGCCATGTTTTCTGCACAAGTTCATCTCTGTAGTTGGACAAAAATGGTCCTGCATAAGAAAGGAAGGCTGCAGCAATCAAGCAGTCACCCACAAGGTAACTGATGTTCTCATCAAGAATCTGGAAGGGCAAAGGAACAAATCAAATCAGTCATGGATAAATCACATAAAGAGCTGCAGTAACCTAACATAATATAACATAAACATGAGGCATACATACCTTCACACTGGCTTCCCACCTGTCTCTTTCTCCAGCCAAACCAGACACTAGTTTACCAGCACGGTCAAGTTTGATCTCCAACATCTCTGCCTTTTTTCTAAGTTCTTCTTTCTGTGCAGACTTCTCATCGTACTGCTTCTTGAGTTCTTCCATGCGATCAGTTACCTTACAAATTAATACAAATATATTATRTTCAGGAAGCAAATGGACAGTCATTTTGCACATTAATTGTGAAATCTAATATGTAAAATACATCAAACATTTTTACTACTGGTTGCAACCAAACCACAGATCACATTGAGTCTTCTCACCTCTTTTAGTTTGGCTTTAGCTTCAGCTAAAATGGCTTGTTTCTCAGCCAGCTGTGATTGTGCTTGGTGAAGTCTCTGTCTTTTMGGTTCCACCACACGATATATTCGACCATAAACCTCCATGGCTCTAACCCACATACATAGTGACTTGGCAGCTAGAGATACACGTCCAATGATTTCTGGTTGAAAGTCAGAGAGAGCACAGTAGGTACCAATCTTCTTAAGTACACGGTCAGACATGTTGTCTTTGTCATAATTGACAAGCTGTTTGATGAAGTTGCCATCACCTTAAATTAGAGTAAATTTTGCTTAATGATGATTACCAAATGATGTTTGATTGACACCTAATCATCATCATCATCATTTCAAGTCTTTTGTCACTGGTGGTAATCACCAATAGTCAGCAGATACTACATTGTGTTATGCATCACAGACAACACACAACATCAGACCTCACCATATCAATGTATTGAATCAAGAAAAACACACAGCACATGTCATAGTGTTGGCACACTCAAAGAAAATCTGCTATCTCTATCATATTACCAACCACTGACTATTCACTCAACCACAAGCATTATTATCATACATAAAAGCTAACACCAATATGGTATGAATAATTCCTATAAAGTCTTACCAAGTTGCCTCTTAGCCTCAGCCCAGGTAGGTTCAGAACCTCTAAGGATCATCACAGCTTCCATGACCTTTTCAACRAAAGCAGGAGGACGGCCATAAGACTTGATTTCAGTCATATCTTTCTTGTTCAGTGATTCCAAGGCCTTCATGGCTTCTTGCAGAGCAGGAATAGCTTCATCCAAGTCACGCTGTGCATTCTCTGCCATACTGCGACATTTCTCCTCTTCRTCCATGATTTTTTCACTTCTGGCTTGAACAATCTAAACCATTAAAACAGTCAGTATTACATTATATCTGGAATTGATCCATGAGCGTTTGGTGAGAGAACTACAATGATGTCAAGCATATTTAGTGAGTACAATGTGTGATGTCATGAATACCTTTTGTTGCTCATCCGCATCTCGTTTCTGTTGGACAATGACCACTAGATATTCCTCGCACTGCTTTTGAAACTCATTGACTTTGATGGTGGCCTCTTCAAGCTCAACAGACATAACTTCAACCTGTTACTCACAAACATGATAAAGATAGACAGTTTAATAACATTGTAAAATGTGGTGTGATATTTCTCTAATTTAGTTCCTAATTTACCTTAGCCCTAGTGTCATCAATCTTTTCCAAACCATTCCTTAATTTACTTGCAGCATCACCAAGCTCTTTCTTCTTCTCAGCTAATAATGTCTGGTAGCCTGATACCAATTCCAGGTAATTTGTTGGTGTCACATAATTATGACGCTTGACTTCCATTAGCATTCGGGCWGACATGTCAACAACTGAACGATGTACYACAACAAACACTTCYGCTACWCCRTTCTTYAGTTCCTCATCACCAACYTCAATGTGTTCAAGGTATTTCTCAGCCACCTCTAGCAAAGCATCTTGGGGCCACTCACTAAACCAGTCAATTGTTGTACAGTTGACAAAGGCTGGATACATACGAATGCGATTCCTGGAATTTACAAAATGAAATCATTTAATTATTCAGTCTTTTGGTTTTAATCTTCTAGTAGGTAAATCAACTAGGTTTACTTACAAAAACATGCAATTTATTATTTACCTGAAGGGATCCCCCACAGGACTCATACAGAGTACAATGTGCAGATTACTGCGAACTCTCTCAATGAAGAATGAAAACATYGTCTCMGGTGTGTCCTGTATACCATCTTTACGAGCTGCTTCTGKCAAAGCAGTACGAACCTGCAAAATCACCATAATAATAAAATGTCAATTCGTAGTAAATACTAAGCATTTATTTTTGTACAAATTGTAAACAGTACCTCTTCAAATTCATCAGGTTTGTACAAGTTAGGAACCTCTCCACTACTCAAGATATTGTTAATGTCCTCAAGGAAGGTCTCCTCTAAGGCTTGTGTYTCAGTGAACAAGAAGACTGTTGGTTTGTTTTCAACTCCTGCCTGGTAATAWAGTCGCTTGATATCTAGACAATTAACAAAATATATTGGCTATTAATGTAAAAATAAATTAACTAAACATAGCATCCTTTGACCATCCATTGCTCTTCCTTAGAAGAAAATAAAATAAGAACATGCTCTTCATTAGCAAAATTGACAAAAAGTAAAGAAATCAATGCAATATCAAAATTGCACGATACTGGTAGGAATTTGGAGTGTTTTGCTCACCATCCCTGAATTCCATAATCCTGTAGTGTTTAGTGACTTCAATCTGGAATACTTTYTATTCAATGATGTAYGATGCCAGACGTGTAAGGCTTTGTCTACCGCTACCACCAATACCYACCAGTAACATGTTACCCCTTGGTTGACCAATCACACGGATTATCCTTGTCACTGAAAACAATAACAATCTATTCACCAAAAAATAATTTTTCCTTTTCATCAACTACAATCATTATACAGTAGCTTAATGAAATTATTTCAGTGGTTTAGATAATATACTCACCATGTTCAATGGCATCTCTAAACAGTACAAGATCTTGGGGTATAATTCCAGGTTCCATGTTGTAGTCCTCTAACTGATCTTCCATGAACTTCTTCAAAGCTTTGAAGTCTGTTAAGTCTTCATATACYGTACCATCTTTCATGAAATCACCTGTTAGTTAACAAAAAGAAATTCAGAATAATATATTCTAAATACTGCATTGCAAAATGAAGTAGCATTTATAATACGTACCAAAGATAGGAGGTTGTTTGTTTGGGCAAAGYTTGTGATATGTCAAGTCAAACATGGTACCAAGTTTGTCACTCAAAAGGGTTACAAATGTCTCTCGATCTTGTGCATCAACAAGACGATCAGCAAATACTCTGAAATAAGAGATATATTTAGTTAATTGGTTGGTTGGTGTTAGGAAGGTTGGTTCCCCACTAGTGCTTGGCTTATTGGTTCATTCATAATTTAGTTGATAAGATTCTAAATTCTTGGATGAATTGAATGGTTGATCTGTTGAATAGAGAATATTCAGATATACCTGAAATTTTCATGCACCCAAAGTCGTGAGATACTGGTCTTTGTGTCATGAAGATCTTTATTGGCACGTAGAAGTCCTTGGAATATCTAAAAATAGTTCACAAATTTATAGGTGATTTTGTGAACTCATAAATTAAGATACAGATTCCAATGTTTTTGAAGTGAATGATAAAATGTAATAATGCAGCAATCRACAAACCTTTGAAATGTCTCTCAAATTGAATAAGTAATGGATTTTAGTTGGTGTGGGCAACATCTTTGCTACAATYGTGTTGTAGATGTCAATGGTTGCCTAGAATAAAGCAAATGTTCAGTCATGCTAGCACTAGGTATCTTGATATGAGTATTGTTGCTTTTAACAGCAACATTGATAGCAAGGTGTTGTTATGATTTTGTACAGCTGTCTATACTCTCTATTTGCCATGATTGCTTTAACACCCTTGACAAAGCACAAGTCATTGACCCTGGCATTACCCTCAGCAAATTGTCAACATGTGAACAAAGAGTGTCAACGGAGAGGTGCTAAATTTGATATTCTTAACAAGGGAACCTTAAGACCTATTAATCTGTATCATAAACAAAGAAGAAACAATTAACCTGTGTCATGATATCACCAAGGGCTTTAACATCCTCTTCAAAGTCCTGCAGCTTTTGATTTATCATTGTGCCAAAGATACGCTTGATTTGGCTCTCTTGTGGYAAAGTCATGTTGATCAGGTTGAACCTGCTTTGTAGTCTCTTAGAGATTTCCATACGTCCACCACCTGGAGGACCCATCGCAGCCAATAGATGCATGTCCTGTAAGGGTAACATAAATTGTTCATTATAGAACATCTTATGAAAAGATCTTATTTATAACTGATATATAAGAAATAACTGACATGACTCAATAGGTAACAATTGACATTATTATGATCATTATTACAACTGACTTTGACCAAAGTTCAACAAATGATGAGAACAGATTTAAATTACTGCAGCTGCAAAGCCAGGAGGACCACTTCAAAACATTATAAGCTTGGCCCAAAATTTCTTGAGATTAATCTTTTATTATATGAGAATGGTGTTATCACTCTAAGGCAGAACCAGTCATGAATTTTTATCAATCATCTGATTTCATGGCTAACCTTGATATATTTGATGGTTTGRTTTAGTCTGTCATACCAGAATCCATAATCCAACCATAATTTAATYAGCTCTAATGGAGGCTGTGATCCAAATGTGTCTTTAGCAGGCATGTTGAAGTCATCCATGAATGTAATCATTTGTTTGCCACCAATAGGAACATACATTCCTACACAAACAATATTGAGATCAGTTTAGATATTACTGAATCAAAAAGATGCCTATTTGCTGTGCAAGTGAAACTTTTTCTTTTAATGCAAGGGCCATACAAACCTTTAGTTCGTTTTTCCACTTTACTTTCTATGATTTCCTGGACATTATTAGAGCTGGTCTGAGCTGACATGTTAACAACCAGMAGACTGTAGATCTTAGAGTCGAGACGCTGTAGGACACCTTGTGCTACTGAAGTCTTACCAGTACCAACAGGACCAACAAGCAACACAGGYTGCTTAGCATGGATCAGGTTATAGACTAAAAAGTCATATCGGACAGTGTCTACAGTTGGAACCATTATCTTGTAGAAAGGGACACTGTAAATAAACAAGGTATATATGGTATGAACTAAGATGAATGTTTTGAAGGTAATTGTTTTGATCTGAATGCGACTATAAAGAGAATGGTGATGTCAGATTATGATGACAATGATGATCATGATCAAGGTAAACAATGATAATAAGATTTGCAGGTTTGAACATTCACTAGAGTGTTTGGGAGACCATACACAAGGAAACAGCATTTACCTTGGGTTGTAACGCCATCCAGACCTTAATTTGTCTTCCCACAATGCCCATGTTTTCTGCTTTGTGTCGACATGGTATTCATATACCGTATCCTGCAAGACAGACACACTGAACTCAGCAAGAGACTAAAAGAGCACATCGGATATCTTACTAGTATCTGATTGAGTACCAGATTTGCAAAGGTGAATAGAATGTTAGTACCATATACATCATGGTGAATTTCTGATTGAATGAATCATATAACTTATTTTGACACCTACCTTTGCAGGAAATTGTCCTTCCAACTCTCTTAAAAAGTTGTCCATCTTCTTRCTGCTATCTTCATCAACTGAAGCACAGATTGACCAAATGAGAGAGAAGAGAAACCACAACTCAATCATACGAGCATAGCTTTCCTCATGAGCCAAGACCTGTATGGGAATAAAAGAATGAATGCCATAAATAACAAGTGGGATAAATYAATAGGATAAATGGACATGAGACAAATGAACTCACTGGATAAGTGGATGGATAATGGATAAATGAATGGATGGGYTAATAATATGAATGTGATAAATGAACAATTGGGATAAATAAATGAATGGGATAAATGAATGGTTACTCAATTAATGAAGTGCCAATCAGCTTACCCCATTAGCTTCAGTAGCTAATGCTTCAAAAAGAGTACACAAGGATGCTACAGAATTCAGCTCAGATGTAGGAATAGGCTCCCTGCAGTTGCGACTCTTGAACTCCAACACCTTGGGTACAAACTTTTCAAAGAGCCTTTGAAGGTGCTCAATAGACTGCTTGTCAGGTCTCTTTTCTAGCCAGGAGTCTACATAGGGTTGCCAACCAAGGTCTTTATAATCTGTGTATACCATTCCACAACGGCTTACTGTAGCAGGTGAAGCAACAGCAAGGTTCTCAACTTCAAACAGTAAGGATACCTGCAGCATGATAACAATATATTGAAAGTGAGTTCATGGATAAATCCACAGATTAATYAATGCAAGAATGAAGAAATGTTTCTTATAGCAATGGGTACAGGGACAAGGATGAAACATCTCACCTGTTCTGGCATGCTAATACGTTCACCATTGATAAGTGTCAACACCTTGTTGTCATCCATAACTGAGTTCATGGACTCAATCCACAATGTGTCAACAGGAGAATCAAACAAAATCCATTTCTCATCTGACTTTTCATCTGAAATGGTATTGTTCACAACAATGCATTAAACAGAAATACTATGGCATGGTACGTCTTTTAAAGCAGAAAAAACTGTTATGTTTTGATCTMACAAAAAAGAATTTAAACTTATTGATAAGGTCAAAGAGAAAACTTAATGATATGGTTCAAATAAAGTTTCATATTTTAGTACAGTCCCTTTCACTGTTTTCGTGAATGTTTCCATCTATTTTTTGCAGTATTTCATATGATTGTAGCATTGAAATACCTGCACATGTTTGCCTCATAACACTTGACAGCACTCCATCTGTCCATTCATTTGTGTTCAYATCAAACTCTCCATACAGCTCACCAAGAGATAATGCCTTTGGGTTGATGGGGAATTCCTGGTATCACAGAAAAATAACCAGAAAGTGGTTATGAGAGAACTGGACAGTTAAATGATCAACAAAATTTATTAATAAAACTATTAGAAGAAGAATATCATTTGTGATACAATGTGTTAATTTTACATTTAATATTTATCTTTACCTTGACAACATTGAAWCCAGATTCTCCATCTCTCTTCATTCGTGTCATGGCTGACTGAAGAATACGCCAACACACACTCTTTCCTGAGCCAGTCTGACCTACTAACATGGTAGAATGCCTAAAGAAAACAAATTTGAAGTCACTCAAAGAAAGCAAATCTGACAATAATCTACTGAGTAAAATRTCCCAAAAAGTGATTTTAGATAATAAAGCTCCAATCTCATCAAAAACATCCCTGACTTTAACATTTTACCTTGAGTTTTTGGTTTCATATAACTGAATGACTTTCAGCATTGTTGTTGGAGTAGCTTGTAAACCAGCTTCTCTCAATTCCTTCTGTATTGCATTGCTGAGCTAAAAAAACAAAAACAAAAGTTTTGACTAAAAAAAATAAAGAAACATAGCATGGAAATGGTCCCTTAAACTATGAACTTTATTATTAGCAGAAAGAAAAGTTAACAAAGAGGACAAACAATAACACAATGACATAAACTTTACCTTTCCATAATCAATGACTGGGGCCTCTACACCAGGYAACAGATCTTGTACAATACCATTAAACAGAGGAGTGTCCTGGGAMGTCAGCTTGGCAATGTTCATGTCTTTCATAGACATGAGAAGGATCTAAAAAAAAGACATTATTTTATAGTGTTTCAAGTAAGATTTCTTAGTAAGTTATGGGTTTTTGAACAGACAATGTGTATTATTGCAGCAACAGGACTTTCATTAAATTGAAAATAAATATATTATTTATCTTATTTAACATCTAGATCAAAGATAGCTAGAGAATTCCAACCTCTTCATCAGTCATGTCTGGGTTTGCTCTRTTCTTCTTTCCTGCATATCTYAGTACAGAGGTGAGAGCACGYAGACCAAAGTCATAATGATCTTGTTTWGACAGCTGTTGTACTGCTAGGGAGTACAGTGTGTAGACTTTCTTTGCTAATACCTACAAGGTGAAAGTATATTCATTTACATTAAGTTCATGTGCTATGTTCACAAGTACTGTATTATATTTATAATATATTAAAGTGGTCACTTTGGGTGATTTGAGTGTTGCACTGTTTGACACTCCCACTATTTGTAACCAATTTTGTTTTATCCATTATTGGTCAGATAAAATTGCTATCCACCCTTTATACAACCAACATGAGTTCCAGATTCAGTTTAATCTGTTATCATAAACATCATCATATACSACTCCAATTTTATAAAAATACTCAMGTTTAACTCTATATTGTTACTTCACCTTGGTGTTGTTAAAACCCTCAGCAAACAAGATGATTTCAGCTATCATCCCTGAGTCAGGAACACACATAGAGATGGGTCTAAACATGCTCTTCAAGTTGTCAGGAAGTTCAGTACGGCCAGCGTAACCTACAAGAAAATAGTCCATGCAATTTAATTGGTTGGCAACTACATTGCTAATACTGATTAGAAAAGAATTTTAACTAATAATAACAGTAGTAAAATATCTTTAAGAAAAACAAACATTTCATCAAGGAAGACAAAACGAATGAAAGGAAAGCAAAAAAATGGAATAAAATGACAAAAACATCAAGAACAGATAATAAAATGAATTATATTCAGACAATAATCTAACCTGGGTTCATAGTGATGAAGATCCCACAAGACCAGACAAGGTTGATCTCTCTTCCTTCAAAGACYAAGCGTGTTGCTCCTGCTGATAAGGCTGATAAGATGGACAGGATTTGCTGTGCTACCACYGACAACACTTCAATGTTGATACGGTTGAACTCATCAAAGCAACCCCAAGCACCAGTCTAATATGATTATAAAAAGAGATGAAAAAACTATAAAATACATTCATTCTTCAATTTTCCATGACATTGAGCACATGATAAACTATAAGATGGTTATAAAACAAAACTGATAATCTATCATAATCATGAAAATGATGATGACCAAAACCAATGATGATGATAATTATACCTGAGCCAATCCACTYTACATACGACCCATGCTTTTGAAGTCAAGACCCTCAGAACAGTTGACCACAATGACATAGTTACCYAGYGCCTTTCCGAGATCCTTAACGGTCTCAGTTTTRCCTGTTCCAGCAGGTCCTTTGGGGCTTCCACCCCGATGAAGATGGAGTGCTGTAGTAAGTGTCATGTAACACCTGGGAAAGAAGTGTTTATTTTAGTTTATTCATTAAGTCTTTTCCTTTCTATGTTAAGAACGTGAAGCAACAGCCACTCACTCACCTGTCAGTCAAAGGAGTGATGACAAGACGTCCAGAATTTCCAAGGTATTCATAGCCATACTGGAACTGTGTGTTTGTTTGACGAACTACACAATCATCAATGTCCTATTGACAAATACAATAGTATCGAGTGTATTGAATGTSTATCAAGTTTGCATCAAGTTGATGGTATGTGTATTGAATGTGACAGATTAAGGAGAGATACTTCATGTCATACCACAAACCTTTCCATGAACATTGCCACATTGCATAAAATGTCACAATAAATGATACAGCCATACACACACTTACAATGTTACAGTTAACTATATGCACAAACTATAGTCTATTAACAAATGGATATCCCATCCRAGTAGCAGTAAATCAGATCATATACCTTATCCCAATAGAGACGTAATTGACTGAGCCATTCAAAAGCTGATACATCACTACATCCAGACTTGATGAGCTTCTCAATGACATCACGTCCATGGACCTCAATTGTTACCAAGGCAACAATTTTGAGACGCTGAAGTTTAGTGAGGTTGCCACGAATCATGTCAGAGAACTTGTTGAGCATTGACACCTAAAGAAAGTTTGTAAATTGAAAGAGTTATTTCTAAATCATACTAATTTTTTGTATTCGTTTTGTATTCATTCTACCTGTTTCTTTTTCAGACTCTTGAGAGCTTTCTTATCGCCACGTTCCTTGGTGTTACTAAGAGCTTTATTGCAGTCACTTGTCCATTGTATTTGACTMGAAGTTATTGTTAGCTAAATAATGCAAAGACAATGTCAGCTAGAGAGGCACATGTAGGGTATTTGTATGGTATATTGTGTTGTACCTGTCCAGCCCATTCCTTGACCCACTTATCACGRTTGCTGAGGTTCTTTTTAAGTGCAATGCGACAATGTTTCAGTAGTTCCTTTAGTGTCCATCTCATACTTCTTTCAACATCACACAGCCATGCCTTATTTAATCAAAATATATTGCTTTAAAATGATTATCTAAAAATAAGCTTTAAATCAGCAAATATCATCACTTTTGAAGCTGATTAATAAAACAGCAAAATAATAATTTGTATTTTATAGTTAAATGACAAAACTCACCTCTACTGGACCCTCTAGGAGGACAGAATGACCAAATTCAACATATTCACCCTCTGCCGAGTACATCCCAACTGCTTCCGTCTTCTGTGTTATTCCCATCTGTGGACAAAAGCAAAATGAGCCAAGAGTTTAATTGTGTTTAATGACCTCTCACATACTAAGAACAATTACAATTACTGAAAATTACTGTTGTTGTTGTTACTGACCTTTGCCATTTTAAGAGATTTGATGTTATCAAAACACTTTTTAAGATGTGACTGGACCTACAGACAAGAAAGAATCATGATTCATTGTAAAGCATCATATTTTGAAATCTTGTGTTGCATTAACACTGAAGATATCCACACCAAAATTTAGCATGATTATAATGATTTAAACTTACTGCTTCTGGATTCTTTGACTGTCCAAGTATCTCAAGCAAGTCATCATTAGAAAGGAAATAGAAACGAGGGAAGATTTGTCTCTTCGTCTCAAGGTACATGTCAAGTGATTTTTGAATTTCTTCAAGTTTGGCATTCATATCATTCAAAGTCTCTAGAAGACCTGTAAGTTCACAAGGAAAAAAATCATCAATAAAGCTTTAAATTATTGAATGATATTCAATGTATATRAGACCAAATATTATTAACCCCCTCAATAGAGACTTGCCATGTTGATAAAGATCAAGTTAGCCAGTCATTTCTGAGGATGTTATTTCTTAACATGAATTTCATGTCAAACATTGCCATCTTTTTCTTATTCAGGTAGAGTTTCCAAGAGTTACCTTCATGATGTGTCCCTCTAAGTGCATTAGGGTCTTTGTTRAGTCTCTGCATGATGACCTACCAACAAACCATCATTAGTCATAAGTATTAAATGATAAAATTGAAAATTTGTCAGACTATAGATTACTGCTGTATAGTGCTATTTCATGATAAAAGTTCTAAAAATCACAAATTGATGATTATAGGGTTGTCAAGTGGTGGACTTACTTTCCAGTTGCCATTGACATCATCAAATTCTGCAGATTCTCTTGGCAGCTGTTTTCTGATGTCTTCACCCAAGAATATGTTCTGTTTTTACCAAAAACAACAAAACACATCAACATGTATAGCATTGCAACTTAAACCCATATTACAATTAAATCATTAATTTACAGAAACCACCTTAACTTGATTTTTTATTGCTTCATTTCCTACAGAACATATCAGATTATATTTTAATCCAGCTTTCCATCCACCACTTTTCTTCTATTATTCATTACATTTTTTTCCTTCCATCCTTTTATCCTCTTTATTTTCCCTTTCCATCCTTCTTCTCTTTCCATTCTTTCCTTCCCTTCCTCCCCCTTTTCRTMGCTCCCTGTCATTTCCATACCTCAAGATACATCCATTGTCTCTGCACAGTGAGGATCATCTCAATTACTTCCAGAATAAGAGAAAGAGTTCTTTCCCATTTATCAACCTGAAACAATTTTCAAAAATCTCAGAAAACAGACAACTGATGAAATGCTGTTCAAAATTCACTATACCTCAACTTCAAAGGCCTTGACATATCTGGAGGCCTTCATGGTGGAAAGAGTGACTTGGTTGTCTTCAAGTAACTGGAAAACTTCATCAGTTGCTCTGAAAAGAACAACATTCATTGCATCTTTTCATCATTAACAATCTATTTAGTACCTGTCATTCAACCATAGTCAAGTTAGTGCTGATAAATGAGTACCAGATTTGGGAATGTTGTCAACTGATTGTTTTAGGTGTTAAGCTATGAAGTCTACTTAGATCCACTGCAACACTGATGTTTTAATCATCAGTATCAAATCACGTTGAATTTTAATCATGGATAAAACATAAGTCAAAGGCTAGCAGCAACGAATTCAGCTTTGATCTGTACCTCAGCCTAAAGTGTCCACGGTCCTTGTAAGGCCCTATGTCAAGATTAACTTGCTCCCATGCTTGTGCAATACCAGCAATTGCCTAACATCAAAATAAAGTTAAGGTAAATAAACAATACCCAAGAAAAAAATTGATTTGATTARAATAACATGGATGTGACTCATCATTMRCCTTACTTGTTCAATAGACAACTCTTTGCTTGCAGCACCAGATATGTCAGAGATCTGCATAGCAAACTGATCCAAGCCAAGTTCAATGATTTTCTCAAGGGTGAAGTCATCAGCTGAGTGAGACAAAGCAAGAGAAGAATAAGAGAAGTTGATAATAAACTGCACTACTTCTGATTCTTTAAGTAAACCATTAAAAAAACAGTTGTCTGATCAATCAATACATCAATCAATCACCCAGTACAGTCAGTCAATCAATCAATCAATCAACCATTCAATCAATCAATCAACAAATCAATCAATTTACTAATCAACCAACCAACCAATCACTTAACCAATCAATCAATCAATTAACCAATCAATCAATCAATCAATCAATCAATTAACCAATCAATCAATCATTATCAACCAATACCTACTGTAACTACAAAGCAAGTTACATTTTCCATGCTATACCTGTATGATCAAAAGGTTTCTGGACTTCACTCTTAATTTGACTCCAATGTCTGTCCCTCATTGCAGGATTTTTAAGATCTTGTATAAGTGGCATGGTTCTCTTGAACTGCTCAATACGGCCTTTGATGGAGTCACAGATGTCCCAATTTTTGTCCTTGATTTCTCTGACTGTCTTATTCAATCTTTTAAACAACAACTGTGATGTRGTTTCCATGTCAGTAGTYACAAGTTCTGTGAATCGACCAACTTTCCAAGAATCCCAKAGATCTTCCCATTCCTTAGTGATAGTCCAAACTTGCTCCAAGTGTTCAAGATCTTTCTCCAGTGTATGCAGGTCCTTGGAWGGAGCTTGCTCAATCTTGAAAATGTTCAAACCACGTCGCAGGGTGGACTCTTGGTTTTTGAGATTCTGGACTTGTTCATGGTATTGAGCAACTTGCTCAAGAGCCTAAATTAGAGATAATAATCTATTATATAACATTATATTTTTATAAGAGATGTATACAGTATCAGTTCTTACCTCTTTTACAGCAATAGCACTGCTAAAAGGTCCTTTGACTTGGAAATCATCAAACAAGGTATTGACAGTRTTCTTAAACTCCTCTGATGAATGGATAAGTCCTGTTTTGAACTTTTCTTTGCTCTTTTTCAYCATGACATCACTYTCTAGCAGGCATTGCTGGAATGACATCCATTCCCCACTWAGCTGGTCAAGCATTTGCTGAACCTATGAAAACATAAGATGAACAGTGTGTTATAAACAGGATATACCAAATCAAATACTCTGAAACTCATTATCAATTAGAGTCTAGTATTTGATATTATTCTAAGCATATACCTCTTCTGGAATAGGAACTTCATATTTCTCCAGGATCAGAAACTGCTCATGTAATGGWGGGAATTTTGCTTCAATGTTGGACAAATCATTCTGCATACGCTCTAGTAATGCAAGACTTTCTCCCAACTCATCTAATGTCTCTGGAGGTGCACTTAGCCTGGCAACAAAGATGTGTCATATTTTGCATATTTGAATAAAATATTGTGGGTTGGTTGGTTGATTTGATAAGAGGAGAAAAGAGGAAAGAGAAAGAGGGAAAGAGATGGAAGGACATCAAACATAATTCAAATCATGCTAATAGTGCCTTTCAAGGGTTTCTGGTCAGTTCGTTCCCAAGTCAATTCCAGTCAATTTGCTATGCAACAAGTCAATTTGCTACACATCGAGTCGATTCTCAAGAAGGTACAATTATATGTAGTTCGATATACAGACTTCAATAACACTTGTTGATAAAATATCACTCATGACATCAAACCATTTCAAACTCACTTCCTTGCATTGTCTTTTAAGAAACTATTGAGCTCCATCAATTTCTGACTGGCCATCTCCCTCAATAGAGTAGTGAACTTGTTCTGCCACTCATTACAATGYCTCAACAAAGCAAACTTTAATGGTGAACAATCCAGCATCACAAAGTCAATGTTCAGAACTGTCTCTTCTTTCTGGAAGTTATTGGCAATTTCTGTATATCTACAAAAAAAAATCCAAAATATAATATTGATATAATTGATAAAGAACACACTATTTAATCTAACAGATTGAATAAATACAATTTTGATAACACAGATTATAAAACTTCTAGTACATTATACCTTGCAATATCTGCATCAAAAGATGACACAGGAGGATTGAGTCTTTGGTATCTCCTAATGAAAGCATCTTTTTGAATCTCCCAGATTTCACGATATCTGAGAAGTTTGTAAAAATTACTCTTCAATTAACACCATCTACAAAACCTCATTAATAATTGTATTGCCATCAAACATTGAAAAATAATTAGGTGACTTACGTGTCCCATGTGCTAAGGTATGACTGTAGATGAGAGGCATTAGCAGACATTCCTGCTTTGATTGCAGCTTGGATCTTTTTTGTTTCATCATCTCTTTCAATTATAATATGAACAGGCTAGAAAAAAAACAACTTAAAACATGACTTCTATTTAGATTTGATAACATACAACTGTCTCACATTTACCTCTTTGGTAGACTTTCTTTTTGTCAGTAGATTTGGTAATCTCTTGAACACTGATAGACAAGTTGTGAGTGAGCTTGCAATGTTGTCCATCATGCTTGCCAGTTTGGTTAGAGTTGGAGAGAATTCAACCTAAAAAAAAACAAGTTACAGTAAGAAAACATTACTTTGAGCATTTGAAGCATTTAATACAATGTATATTATACAGTGGATTCTTGTTAATTGGATTTTGAGGTGTTCTGAGATGTATGCCAAAGGAAAACAGGCCAATGCAATGTTATCCATTCATCAACTGCAAGTTTTGACTGGACGGTAAGTTTCTTGAGGAAATTTATACGTCTAGACATGCATAAATTCACATGGGTGATACAATGAGCTCTATATACCTTATCTCCTTCCAAAACAACCTTGACTCTTAACAGAGGGTTTGGTATACTCTTGCCATCACCATTGATAGCTCTAGATAGTTCCTGCAGTGACCACTTGACATTAAGTCTAAAGGCTTCCTCTACCATACGATCAATCTTTTCAGTATATCGTACCCAATGGGCTTGAACCTGTCAATTAACACAAAATTACAATTAKTATCTCCAAGCCTTGACTGTATGTTGTTTTATAGAGTATTAGTAGTAAAAAAGCCCAAAATAAACCTACATCTTGGCCATCATTTCTGAATACTTCATATGTACTCTTCATAGTTCCAACTATCTCCATGTGAGTGACTTGAAGTCTTGTTTGCAGCATCGACATGTGGCTTTTCTAAAAAAAATTAAAACAAACATAGAACATGATGCACCTCTGAAATGAAACAAATCTGTTCAGCCTGAATGATAAAAGGCTACAAATGGCTAAAAATTATGGCTGTATTATGTTCCTTTTGTACATGAACTTACTTTTAACACATCAACATTTCAAAGAAATAGAACTATCCCACAGTCGCTTGGATGAACATGAAACAATGGTTTTAAGTTGAGACTGGAGTTTTATCTTTTGTTGAAAACTTCAGCCTCGAATTTAAGCCATTGCTTCGTGTTCATCCAAGCAAGTGTGGGATTGGTCTATTACTTAAACTTATAAAAGTACTAGCTTCAATCTCTCAATCCTTGCTTCTTGTGAAGCTTCTAGTAAGGGTAAAGATCCATAGCAAGCATAAAACGAAGATAACAACTCTCACCTGTTCATCTTCAAACTCAAGGTTATCATACACTCTTTTTCCATCAATCTTTACCAATAACATCTCACTAATCTTGACACAGTTCTTGGAAATCATCAAGTTGGCATTCTTGTAGTCATCTACTATACCTTGAACCTTGCTGCAGTTGTTTCTACATTCKCCAATGAAGTAATCTGATATACCTTTGGAAGCCCAGGTGAGTTTAGTGAGACCTGGATGAATCTTTTTGTCTAAKGACCGGATTCTTTCCTTGAAGAGGGCACGTTCTTCTGGTGACAGAACTGCTATTATTCTGTGGAAACAAAGAAGGACTTTGGGTAATGTTGTTGGAATTGTACCAAGAATACTCAACAATAGATAGGATGGTGGATGTAACAGAAAGATAATGAAAGGGAAGTGGATGGGAAGAGAAAATGAATAGGAAGTGAATGGGAAGAGAAAGTAAATGGGAAATAAATAAGAAAAGAAAAGGGAAGGCAAAGGAAGGACAAGAGATGGTAGCAAAATGAATTAGTGAAAAGATATTATCTATTAGTTGAAATACCTATTGTAATCCCTGACGACAAGTAAGACATTTTCTCGTAATATCCTCAGGTCTTCCTTCTTTTGGTAAACTTCTGAGACATAGTGAGGTGTCTCGAACATCAACTTCTCCCAGTAGTGAATCTCATTAATTAACTTCAAAAGACTCCTAGAATATGGAATAGCAAAAAAAATAATTATCAATGATAGCAAATAATTTATTTTACACAATTTCATGATAATTTTCAAATTCACTTGATAAAAGGCAACATACTTGTCAAAATGCAGATCCAGAGTCCCTGTTCTGTCCTGGCTTCTCCTCATGAGTGGAATTTCAAGGAGTTTTACTGATTCCTAATACAAACAAACAATACTATCATTATGCATTTCAAAATGATTTAGGAATAAGAAAAAAATACATGTCTGAAAATGTTTTAACATTTAAAAGCTTAAAAGCTTTATTGTGGGAACATCTATGCATATAAGTGAAGTTAAATAGCTTACCTTATCTACTAACGCCGTCCACTCATTGAACGTCTTGCGCACATACTCATCCAAAGCCTGTGCTAATTGCTGGTACTGGGTTCGTATTTCATCTCCAGTGCCAATTTGAGGCAAATAAAATGCTTTGTTGATGACCTAGAATTTATTGCACAAAAATGCCTAGTAAATAATTATCTTTATACAGAAATACTTGCTTMCCGACCAAACTGTAAGACAAATGCAGCATACAAATAAATTGTACATTAAATAAATAATGTACAATGAATGCAAAATGGCATAAAAATAGCTTAAATAAGCTATGAAACATTCTCTCATTATTACATTGTTTAGTACTAAGGAGAGTATCAACTTAAATCACTAGACAATGATTTTTTAGAAMGACTTACTGCCATTGGTTTATCAATCCTACGTCGCAACATTCTGGCCCAGCTTGAGGAGCCAGCATACTTAGGATARAAAGCTGGTAAATCTACACTCTTTGTATTAAACTCCTTCTTCACTAGATTTAGTTCTTCATTGAATAGTTGATAGACTTCTACTGTCTTTTTGTCAATAGTTCTCCTGATAGCCTAAACGATAAAAGATTATTGATAAAACATTATATTACTTTACTATCAATATACTTTAATAAAGTCATATTTAAACTGGTTTAAATTAAAACCTGGTTTTTCCTACAACGTAAACTTAAGCCCAACCTAGGCGCAATTGAGCAAGGCTCCTTAACTCCATGAAAACAACCCAACGTAAACGCAAAACGAAACACATAAGTTTGTGTTTGCTCTCACTTAAGTGCTACAGTAATGAAAATATAAAGGTTACCTCTCTAGAAGAAAGATGTTGGAAGATATCCAGGATTTCAGCCCCTTCCTGTGATGAAATGACTGTCTCAAATGCAGATGTTATCAAATTCTGTACCATCACCTCCAAATCTTTTACACCAGCACGGAATCTTGAGATGAAATCATTTAATGGTTACAAATGGAGGCTTTGATGTTGCATGCACTTATTGTTTRGAAATAYCTTTAAAKATTTCTTAAAGAAAACCTACCTATTAAAGTCATCATGCCAAGTMGTTGCCTACAGAAAAAAGAATAAAAATTCATGAGAAKATTTGTTTAAATAWACCATTATTAAGTTAGTCTGCTGTGGRCTGGGGTGCACTTACTGTATGTTGATTAATGCTATCCACCAAACAAATTCTTATCCAATACACAATGTAGTTAAAGTTCATGAAATTCATGAAGTGGAAAGCTTTGTTCCTGCTTCTACAACCATGCCCAGAAAAGTATTGTACAATGAAAAGATACCTTGACATCCAAGATAGTTTTCTTGACATTCCTTAAGATCTGTAAGTTCTTCTCAAATGTAGCTTCTATCTCAAGAAGGCTTCTTACAATTTCAGGTCCCTTTACACCGTGGAAACAAGGAAGTGGAGTCTTTGTGCCATCATACATTCTTGCAAAATGCATTTGGCCTTCACAGACCTGGATAACATCAATGACAATATTAACCATCAGCATCATTATCATCCGTATTATCATAAAATAACAATCATCACTATCAACAATATGATCAGTATTTTTTATCTGCTCGGTAAATCTTAATCATTAAGCATAAGCTTTATCATAATCATAAGCCATTGTCACTACAGTGATCATCATCATCATCATAAATTATTATCATCAATCATCATTCGTGTATTTTAAATGACCTCACAATCTATGCATACATTACCTCAAGCAGATCCTTGCATCTTTGCACAAATGCATCAACTTGAGCAAAAATGCTGCTTTGGTCAAGTACCCAAGGGAATCCAGAGAACTTAGCATGCATTCTACTTATCTAACAAACAGATAAACAGGCACTCATTAGGAAAAAATATTTCAAGATCTTTCTGCAAGTTACACAACCTTGATATAGGTCCCTACCTTTAGATAAATGTCCTTATATGCTTCACAGCACTCAATGCTCTCTTGAAGACCAAGCATGCTTATTCTAATTCGCCCATCAAAGATATCATCAAGACAGATTTTAGTGCTACAACGTTTGATGATTTCATTGCTCATCTAATGATYAYAAAAAAATGATCAAAWTTGAGCCAGTTGTGATTGTAAATAGGCATGTCACTCTCAATCATTTCCAAGACYAGTGGACGCTTTTAAAATATCTRAGGTGCATGTAGCAGGAAAATCATAAATATATTGTTCAAATGCTCACGTTTTTCCCCTAGTGAAAATACCCCAAATTTTCATGTTCATGCCTTGATATATAAATGTCTTTACAACTCAGAAATGGTCTATTGTTACTGAGTGAAGGTAATATGTTATGTTCCACTCACCTTCCTCAACAGGCCAGTGAGCCTTTCTGCACTTTTGTAATGTTCAGAGTTGATCCATATTACTCTGATAATGTTTAGAATCTTGGGAAGCATGGGTGGGATCTCCTTTGGCTGAGCCTCTGCAAGAGCTTCACATGGTTCTTTCAACACAGACAGAAACTTGAGATTGCTTTGGGCCTGGGCTGATCCATTCTGAAGAATTTCACAAATATCATTACATTATTAATTAATACATATATTATATTCCTTACATAGGTAACTTGCAGTTAATTTCTAACAATTACCTGTATCTGTTTAGCAAGCTTTAGGAATGGAGTAACGTAAGACGATTTGGATAATTCTAGGATACTCTGTATTCTCATCACTCCTGGCTTGTTGAGCTGGTCACTGATTCCTGAAAGATCTGCACATCTACTTCTCCAGAATTCTATTTCRTCAAGAGGGCCTGAGTTTTCAGCRGTTTCAAGGTTATCCTGGCTGCTGAGTACCTCTTTAATCTGTCTTGTCCAATGGATCATTGCAGCTGTAAATTAAATGATAATATTCAAGTACTGTATTTACGGTATCATCCAATACTGCAGGTCAAAATTACATTACATAATGCAACCTCCTCTGCAGCTATCCCTTGTTGTCATATATCACATTGCATATCAACACTAAAGGGTAGCTACTGAGGATGATATGAATTTATATCAATCTTACTTTCCAATCTTTGTACAAATTCTTTACTCTTGGCAGCTTCTTCTATACTGAGGTTGACATTCTCATTAGGAACATACAGAACAGTCTTTCCTTGCATTCTGTATCTAGTGTCGGTTAGATTGGCCATAAACTTATGTACATGTGCAGAAAAGTCATTTTTGATACCTAGTTTGTATGTTAAGGAATGCTGTAAAAGTTCAATAACTTTATATATAATACAATAAAACTAGTGCAGCCATCTCTCTTCATATCATCTGCCTCTACTACCTATGTTACATTACAAACGGTTTTTTACACTGCCTGGACACTATAACTAATTCTACTCAAATATACATTATTCAATATATACCTGCATTTATAACAATGCAAAGGATACTATCAGGCCAAGAGGAGTTTTTAAAGAATAACGGAGCATAGACATTTGTCATTAATCTTAGCAAATTCTCCACATAGTTCATATGTACAGTTCCAAATTGCAGTTTTTTCTCTAAATTATCAGGATTAAGAACAGCATCTTCTGATTTTATAATGTAAGTAAGTTCGTCAACCTGGTGRGGCYGGATCGARGAGGAAACCTGAAGTCCTAAGAGTTTGTCAATATATACCACGAGAATCCGCATGGTTGTGTCAGTCACAAACTTTAAAATAGTGTCATCATGCTCTGTTGTCCATAAATCTGATGA